AAATCAAATCAAAGTTTGATTAATCTATAAATAGTTAAGAGTTTTCGTGACATTTGTTTACCTAAAGCTGTATTAGAGTTGGCGTCGGCATAGAAGTAAAGGCAGGCGTCTTTCAGCACCAAATATCTGTGTCTCCATACTTTCCGACGTTTACTAAACTTTCCTAAATATCCGTAACAATCGAGATGTTTGAGTGAAAGCGGGTTTTTGTGTATATTATGCAAAGTCGAGTCAATGTATGGGTCGATCTGTTCAATGATAATCGTTTCGTACGTTAAATATAAGTCCATTCATATATCATATTATGTAATAAATAGATTCATTGCTAAGAAGTATGCATTCGCGCCAAACTACACATTAAAAGTCGATTCGCTTTTTAACTTCACAATACTTTTCCAATACTTAATAATATGAATAGATGTAACATATGATGTCAAGTATACAGTAATATCCGAAATGGTATTAATGTTTAAATAAATGATTAAAATTAGTTGTTTTATATATTATGAGAAGATAATACAATAAATAAAAATGGAGATAATAAAAGACTTGGAATTGAGAGAGTATTTCAATATTTAACTAAATGTCATAATAAAATGAATTAAAGAGAGGATCCCCTCCTTTCAGACTAAAAGCTAATATATATTGAGATAATTAAATGAATAATAGATTAGCGATGGAAATGCATTACTTGATTAATACGAGTGGCCGATTGGTTCAATGCGTTAACCCATTGTCCGGCGGTCTCGCGATCGATGGCAGCGAAATACTTCTGTGGCGTCCCATAGCGTACTAACCGAAACACAAAGCATTGACCGAAAATGGTTTCGTTGCAAACGCCGGCACAATAGCCATGAAGAGAGATCGCTCCCACAGGTTCTGTGCCCTGCATTCAAATGCATTCAATTATTGATTTCTAATTTAAACCTATTTTTATTTTATTTCTTTTTTTCTGTCGTTTCACTAGTTTTTGGCTCACTTTAGGATTTTTGTACCAATAAAGACAAAAGTCTGACTTAAGCACAAACCAACGCCTTCGCCATAATTTATTGGTCCCATGACTTTGAGTGGTCTCCAGTGCTCTCTCTTTATCCGCTGACTTATCCGTCAGTCGCGAGAGATAACCATTCATAAGGATGTCGTGCTCTACTGGCGGCTGATTCTTCTTAATCGATTTGGACGTACAAATCACTTCCAATTTAAGAGTATCGGACCCTTCAAGACATCAACACATATTAGCACACATTCACGTCCAACCCATACCTACCCGTATGAGCCAACTTCACTACATCCGAATGGGAGGCTTCCAACACATTTGTCTCGTTAACAGACACTATAATATCGCCCACTTCTAACCCATTCATCTCTGCCGGTGTGTCTATACGACCGATCATTAAATTAAAGCACATTTTTATCGTTTTCGTATATTTCAAACCTTTTTCAATGGCAGAAACAACTACTGGACGACTCCCATGTATACGAAAACCAAATTCTCCGTCACTTTTAACAATTGTTAAGACTTTTTCTATCACTAAATAATTGAAAAATGCTTTAGAAGTGAAACAATTGGACGCAATATATTCTAGAATTTACCAAATGTTCGGTTAAGGACTCGTTTATACATTTCAATCGATGCCTTCCTATGAATGAGTCGATGAGTGATCGCTTCGTAATGTTTTTTGAACCCCTTCTCGGATAGAGTGCTTTCGTCGGACTCCGAACGCGGCAGTGACTTGTCTTCCGTCAAACTCAATGGATTCCTGTGGCCCCAAACGGCCACCTCTTCCTTACGGCCGATGTATACCCAAAGAGACGATCGATAGCTTTCAGTGTGAACTCCAGCATCTTCTTCGTCTTCATCGGAACCACAATAGATATCATCGATTGTCATCGATTTACGATACAAATATGGAATTCCTTCAATCGATACAATTCAAGTGTTTTAGGATTTAATCATTTTATCAAATGTTGCCAATAATGCCTACCCGTCCTCTCAAGTCGTGATCGTCTAAGAAGTGAAGGCACGCTATGTTTGTTAGCAGACTCTCCGCACTGACTGCACGTGAAGTGATGGTGACTACAGGACTGGAAGTAATGACCGGCCGGTGCTTCCAACCCCTTCTCAGGGCTACGGCTTAGAGATCGGGCCCTCCTTTGCATTATGTAAAAGTCTTCCTGTGATAACAGAGTATGGCTTTCGCTCGAAGAGTTTCGTTGATTTTTTACAACCTTTTTGTTATTTTTCTTCACTTTAATTGATTTATTTGACAATTTATCTAAAAATAGAGCAATACTTTTGTCACAAAAACTAATCGTACGGTTCATTCAAATACAAACCTTCTTCGGAGACGTGATTTTTCTTGCGATCGGAAAACTGTTGAGTTGTTGTACTTTCAGAAGTGGATAATTCTTGCAAAAGAGCCAATCCTTGACTGTCCTCTTCGTCTACCTCTTCGATGGCCTGCTCTTCGTGTCCATCCTTTAGGGAGAAGCTATGGTTTAGCGCATCCAATGAAAGCGACTCTTCGTCGATATCTTGTGAGCTCTGATGTTGTAATGAAAACTCGGATTTTTCAATATCTCTTTCGGTGGCCTGCGATGACTCTGTGGTCAAGTCAATCAACTGACCCACTATTGGTTCGTAACGTTTGCTAACAACCGACGCGTTTTGCTCCAAATCTGTTGTTACCGTCGATTGTGTCTTAGGTTTACGTGAAAAGCACTCTGTTTTGCATTCAATAGTAAAACGATTTAATGTATTGATAACTCATATTAATTTAACAATCAATACCTCCCACTCCTCCTTCTGACGCAACTTTTGTTATGTTAGCGATTGCTTGTGTGGGAAGACATGGAAGGCTTCCCGCCTTTCCAATAGTCACTCGATTGGATTCATCCCCAGACGTGGCTTCAGTAACGCTGGCGTCGATCATAAAGCTTCCAGAAGTGGTGCTATCGGCTAAACTCGGAGAAGTGGCCCCGGAATGGATGGCTATATTCTCTGATGACAAGCCATCGCCAGATAGTGTTAAGGCCGGAGCCATAGAGTCTCGATCGTAATATTCATTGTAATCCTTATCAATCGATGAAACAGATTTCTGAGCGCACATATCGTTAAAACTGATTTCTTCCGATACTTCCGAAACTGTAGACAATTCTCCTGATAGGGATCTTCTTAATGGAATCGGTGCTACCATTGGTTCATCGATCACATTATCTTCTTCTTCGACAATAATATCTTTGGTTAAATCTTCTGACGTCTCTTTTGTTTTCATTTCAGAATCAATTTCCATAAGTTTTTGCTTTACAATACCCTTGAAGTCTTCAATGATCTCTTCGGCCATTTGTTTGATTTCTTCCGAATCAATGTTTTCCTCGTGAGTGTCGGCAACGGCTGTCAATTCGAATTCATTGACCAAATCTTTGTGTGCATTCGGTTCCTGTCTGTTGCGATCTGTGGACAAAAAGCTCGGTTTTGGCGGAATCTTTGGCTTAGTTTGCGGAACGGATTCAATAATGGTTGTCGTTTCAACCGCTGTCGACGGATCAGATGAGTATATTTCTTGGATAGGCGTTAAATCTTGTAAATCTGAATCAATGTCCTCCACATTTGCACTGAAATGAGTGGAAGCGATAGATTCGGGCGAATGTGGAGAATGTGCGGGAATTGACGCCTCAGACGATGAGGACGATCGCCTCTCATCGCACGTCTCTTCAGATCTTAGTAATTGACGCTTTGATACTAGAGTTGTTGGTCTCTTCAATGTCGGAACCGATAGAGACCTGATTTTCACCTGAAAAAAACAATTAATTAAAAATGTATTATTATAATAATATCAGAATTTACAAATTCTTGCTCTTGAAGAGCACTATTGTCTTCAATAATTGGATCAGATTTTCTTTGAAGAACTCTTGTAATGGTGAGGGCATCGGAAGATAGATCTGATTCTAAGAGCATTGTATTCTTTTCCTTTGAAGTACTCTTAGGATCGGATTCCGAGGGTTTTTCTTTGGTATATGTATGACACGTGTCATCAATTTTGTCGGTAAACTCCACGTCTGACTTGATATCAGAACTAGTGGTCGGAGATGTGATGTGTAGACTAGAAGACTCGCTATCGGGAGATATAAGAGTTTCCATTAATTGCTTCTTGAGTCGACTTATGGGTGAATCCATTGTCATTAAGTCAATGGAATCGCTTTCGATGAGAGGGGGAGGAGTGGAGGGCACGTCGGCGTTAAGTTCTGACACCACTGTTGGAGAACTATTTGTCACCTTTGGATTGAGTGTTATTTTAGTATTAAATGGTTTACAATATAATATAATATAATATAAAATTATTTAACAAACCTTTGAATTGTTTGCACTGGACTGGAGGTCATCTATGTCTGTAGTGATGGAGGAAATTACATCACTTCCATCATTGGTAATCATAGCATGACTTGACTCCGAAATGGACTTCTTTGGTGATAATTCAATATCCGAAAGGTCTTTATTATTGTCGTCTAAATCTGGGAATACTTCGATGTCTCCAAATCCTGGCGGTGGAGATGCTATGGGAACGGATCCGATTGGTTCTGCAGCTAAGTCTGCTTTGGCTGAATGCCGTCGTATTAGCCTTCCATCTAATATATTGTCTAAATGTTTAAAATTTGTTTTTATTAACACAACATATGTATTATTGATTATACATGTATATAATCACCAAAACTTTAGTACAAGAAATCAATTTCATGGGTTATAACGCATTAAGTAATGGCGAGACTGAAAGGCAATTAATTAGTGAACAAACCTTCGCCTTCGATGTCTTGTTTCCTTTTAGGCATAAAGACCTCATCATTAGAGTAGGATTTGACGCTTGACTTCAATGGCTGTAGGAATGTATCAAAAGGCTGGTCGATGTGATTATCACAAAACGCTGGATCCTCTCTAAGCCTATGAGACGATGAGTTTGTGGCTCTGAGGGATTCTTCGAAGTCTCTGTCGATGCAGACCTGCATTATCTCATCATTAAACTCGATATTACTGTTGGTGTTAATCATAATGCCGTGAACTGAACGCGACTTAATTAATGGCAGTGGGAGTGCATTGTTGGCATCACTTTCGCCCCAACTATGAGTCTGTCTGAGGATCAGTCTCTGGTGATACTCACACAACGATATAGGAGTGGTGGGCACCCGGAGGTCGAAGCTGCGGCGGTGGACTATCTGTTGATTGTTAGCGCGCGGGGATAGAGTCAGATAGGCTGGTATTGACCGCGAAGACCGCGATTTGGTCATAGCCTGTGTGGCCTCGGTTTGAGTGGCCTGTGTTTTCATGATCACCCGTCGCACCAAACGGCACGGCGTCGACAGCGATGGCGTATACGACAGGGACGGAGACACCGACTGCTGCAGAGGCTTCACATTCTCGTCGATCGAGTGTTGACTCGTTTTACTTCCTATTTTGGGTTTATTCACAACATTTATAGTGAATTAATGGATAATTTTCACAAATTAAACACTACTTATAAGAATCCTTTCACTATCAGAACACAAATTAATGTTTTGCTAATTAATTATCAATTAATTCAAATATGAGATAATATTTCATTTTGGGATTATGTATGAAATGTTTAGACAATATTAAATGCGAAAAATGTTAAGAAAATAAGCATAATATTCATATGAAAACGAGTGAAAGAAAACAGAGAGTAAAGCGAGAGGAGAGAGTTAAGGGAAAATCGATAAATACATAGAATAGCAGTGCAATCAATACTTACGATTAAGGGATGGAGAGAGAGAGAGAGAGAGAGAGAGAGAGAGAGAGAGATGCAAAAGAGAGAATAAAATACTGTTTTGGGCATAAAATCAAAACCAAATGATAAGAAAACACAAATTTGTGCCAAAATATTATTCCATTCAATATATTATTGAGAGATAAATAAAAATAAAGAAATTAGAGGCGAATGACAGACAAATGAAATTGGAAACCAAAATCAATATTAGGTTTGACTCTAACTTTTCTATAGATTGTACTGTAATTGTCATTTGTGTCGACATTTGCCAGAAGTGAGTGAAAAGAGAGGCAAACCTAAGAGCCGTTCCTGTGATGCAACCGGTGGTGACATATCTCTTCTGGTGGAAGACGTGGTCGATGTGAGCGAAATAGATGGCGGACTCGCGTGTTGTGGATGTTGTTGTTGTCGCGCATTCATATGTATGGATGCGATTCCTGAACTACACGTTACACTTCTCCTCACTTTATTGTCTCCCGAGTCGAAAGAAACGTGTTTTTTAGACGATATGTCGTATCCGCCCGTCTCTGCCATTCTGGGACCCGAACCCGTTTGCTGTGAACTCCACATCTGTTGACCACTGTTATAGTCGAGCAGTTCTTCGGCGCTATGAGATGTGGACGATGTATATGTGGTTCCCTTTTGATGACAATTTATCATTCAATTTATTTACTATTGGATTACATTTGTATATAATTTCATTATAAATACATTTACACATAAGTTCTATCATATAAAGGGTAATTTATTTCAATATTTGAGATAAAAGTATACATTACTTGTGATGCATATATCGATGATCTGATGGAGGATTTATTGATGTCTTGAGAACCCGAACTGTTTGATTGATGTAACCTTACTTTGGATCGGCTGTAGTCTATAGTTTTGTGAGGACTGGCGCTCATATTTTTGTATTGATTTCGTTTGCCATCTCTTAATTCACTTGAGAAATGATTATATTTTTGCTCATCAACTGATAGTTTCTGGGAATAAGGCTTAATATATTGTCGAAACCCTCCGTCACTGTCTTCGTCTTCACTAATATTGGCAATGGTTTGAGTGTTTAAGTGCTGCAAACTATCACAACATATGCTATTTTATTTATATTATTATTACTATTATTATTAGATTTTATGTATTGTGTTTTATATATTACATTAAAATACATTTCTAAACTTCATCCAAACGTATAGATTAAATCTCATTTGTGTTCAACTAAAACATTTCAATGCATTGTATTTGTCTTTGCGTTCATTAGTCCCCCAAATGACACTTCCGTGCAATACAAGCAAATGATGTCTTTTCCTATAAACTGCAATTGAATGCAATTCTAAGCCATTTCTATCAATACATGCTTTCCATTATTAAAACAATCAATTCTTTGTCCAAATTCTTTCACCAAAACATAACTATATTATCATTCTTAACAATATTCCGACCATAATATAAATCAATTCACTTAATATTTAGGAAACAAATGCACAAAATATTCATAATATACAAAATAAGTTAATTTAAATTTATAATCCAATACAACAAAGTTTAAATCGAATCAAATATATCTTCCGGTCGTTGTGTTTGCTTACCGTTTGGTTGTATCAAATGGTTGAGTATTTTGTTGAATAGTTTCCGTCGAATTTTTTTGTTTATTAACACATGAGAGCATTAGAAACGAGTTTTTGCTGCACTGACTGTCAGGCATATGACTGCTGGACAGACAGGGTTTCTCTGCCCGCCGGCTGCTCAGTGCCTCTAACACGAGGTTCTGTAGGTTGAGAAAAGACCACTATGTCATGACAAGCGCATACAGAAGCGCTCTCATATTCGGGTGACCCTTTTTGTTGCGAACGCCGCCGAAAGGCATTCCGCGCCGCGATTTCACCATTTCATCGTCAGAATCATATGTAATCACTTCATACGTTATATTCGCCTGTAGTTCAATAAATAACACATTTAGCATCAATTCAACTAAAATATAATATGCAAACAAAGATCACGTGATTATTCTTTGAGATACTTTATATTAAACAGATTTCTATAAATAAATTATAGCACTCGTGTGAGTACTGATGCGCCCATACCTGACAACTGGCGTCACTCACGTCTACGGAATCCAATCTATTGTTAACAATCGTCTCTCGTTTTGAGTGATTACTCGCTGTAAAACAAATTCAAATCAATTAAAATTCTTATAACACAAACAATTAAATTTATTTTAAGTAATCTCTAATTCTAATTTAAACTAATATACTGTACATTTAATTACATTAATTTTATTGTATATATCACTTATTGGTTCACTTCACTTACAAATGCAAGTATTATCCCTTTTAGTATTACACCAAATTAAACAGTCTTACATTCAATTAAAGTTTAAAGCGTTTTAAAAGTTGTATACAATTTTAAAGCAATTAAATTGAATTGTATTGATAAAATTTTACAGATCTTAACTTGTATACTTGAATATAAATATTACACGACGGTAAAAATAATAATAATAATAATAATACAAAAGTTAAGATGACATATGATTTTACAATAAATATACTAAATACAAAAAATTGAATTCAACACTTATGAAATCCGCTTTGGATTGGATCTAAAATTAATCTATATTTCATTAAAAGTTATTGATGTTTTAGAAAACCTTTATAACATATCTTATTATAGACTGAAGGTTAGATTTAAGCAAATGTTGTGTAAATACTAATGGAAATTTAAATTTCATTAATTTTCAAAGATGTATTAATGTTTGTTAGTTTTTTAATTTATAAATTTACACAAAAATCAAATCAAAGTTTGATTAATCTATAAATAGTTAAGAGTTTTCGTGACATTTGTTTACCTAAAGCTGTATTAGAGTTGGCGTCGGCATAGAAGTAAAGGCAGGCGTCTTTCAGCACCAAATATCGATGTCTCCATACTTTCCGACGTTTACTAAACTTTCCTAAATATCCGTAACAATCGAGATGTTTGAGTGAAAGCGGGTTTTTGTGTATATTATGCAAAGTGGAGTCAATGTATGGGTCGATCTGTTCAATGATAATCGTTTCGTACGTTAAATATAAGTCCATTAATATATCATATTATGTAATAAATAGATTAATTGCTAAGAAGTATGCATTCGTGCCAAACTACACATTAAAAGTCGATTCGCTTTTAACTTCACAATACTTTTCCAATACTTAATAATATGAATAGATGTGACATATGATGTCAAGTATACAGTAATATCCGAAATGGTATTAATGTTTAAATAAATGATTAAAATTAGTTGTTTTATATATTATGAGAAGAGAATGCAATAAATAAAAATAGAGATAATAAAAGACTTGGAATTGAGAGAGTATTTCAATATTGAACTAAATGTCATAATAAAATGAATTAAAGAGAGGATCCCCTCCTTTCAGACTAAAAGCTAATATATATTGAGATAATTAAATGAATAATAGATTTGCGATGGAAATGCATTACTTGATTAATACGAGTGGCCGATTGGTTCAATGCGTTCACCCACTGTCCGGCGGTCTCGTGATCGATGGCAGCGAAATACTTCTGTGGCGTCCCATAGCGTACTAACCGAAACACAAAGCATTGACCGAAAATGGTTTCGTTGCAAACGCCGGCACAATAGCCATGAAGAGAGATCGCTCCCACAGGAGATATTTGGTGCTGAAAGACGCCTGCCTTTACTTCTATGCCGACGCCAACTCTAATACAGCTTTAGGTAAACAAATGTCACGAAAACTCTTAACTATTTATAGATTAATCAAACTTTGATTTGATTTATTTGTTTTCTTCAATCTATGGCATCAAAAATAAATAAATGATTGAAATAAAAATGTTATAAATAGTTAACTCAATTGCAGGTGTTTTCTATTTGCACGGCTATAAAGTGCAGAGTTGTCTAATGATTGGTAAAAAGCATACGTTAGAAGTCATTCCTCCAGATCCTAAATATAAACACTTATGGCTATTGTCTGAATCGGATGCCGACAAAAAGAGGTCATTATCATCACTATTATTGTCATTTCCAATAATACATTCAATTTATACCATTATTTTCAAATTGAATTTCATTTTGTTTATCGTCTGAACAGATGGTTAGCGGCGTTGGAGTACTCTATCGACCGATGGATTAAATTAAAATAGAGGCCAAACATTAAAATACATACATTTTTTGCTATCAATAGTGATATTTTAAAATATATATTAAATATTATATAACAAATGGATTATAATATTTACAATAGATTTGCGATAACAAAGAGTTTTTGATATAAAGACAACTATTAGGACATTGTTTAGAGTTTAATGTGGTTTAGAAATTGAAATCTATTTTACAACTCAAACCAATCGGACCTTTGTTTGAGTGTTAATGAACTGATGGCACAAATCCATTGCGATTAAGGTATTCATTATACCAATTCATGGGAACAGCTTCTGAGAAATCAACACATCTGTCGGTTGAATATAATTTTGTAAAATTGTTTTCAATAACAATAATGAATACAAATATAACATAATTTATTAGGAATTCAAAAATGTGAGCAAAATGTTTAACATTTTTATTCAATGTTTTATAATAAAAAAATACCATGTTTTTTGATATTTAAATATCGACACAAACAACTGGTCAATTAAAACATATAACATAGTTATAAAACCTTTGGTTCATTTGAAAAAACTGTTGTTACCGTTAATTAAGTAAAAAATATAAATACAAAACATGTTTATAATGAGAGGAATTGAATTAGTGGTGAAAATGGGATTCAATCGGTTGTAATGTTTCGCATGTATTGATTGCATTTGGCGTTTCATTTGAAGCAGAGGTTAGTCTCGTAGAACTTGATCACAATCTGTGGTATCTTAAGGTTGGCCTCCTTAGCGGTGACCAAATCGGCTGAATTAACGCCTTTCCACTTCACCAAAAACATCACTTCTCCCGACCGAGTGGTCGCTCCGCAGATGTAGTCCGCCTCCAGTTTGCGGTCAAACCCTTTCGGCGCTGACTTCGAGCCCAACGAATCGCTACTATCGCTCCCTTTCAGCTGCCCTTCCGATTGTGTCACTTCTTCGCCATTGGATTCATTCTTACATCTCTTGTGAGACTTATTGGCGCCCTTTTTGTGGCCATTAGTGTCGGCACCGGCGCTGGTATTGGTGTGTCGTTTGGGGCCGCGTTTGGCGCCGACGTATGCGTTGTCCTTAGCGTTGCTTTTGGCAGAAATGTCCGTCAATTTGGGCGACACTTCTTTGGCCACCTCTCGAGTGTGGGCCGAGTCTTGAGCTTCGGGTTTGCGATCACTACTAATACTCGTTTGGTTGCGATCGTCGGCTGGAAGTGCCTGTCGTGCGGACTCTTCGTAGAGTTCAATGGCTGACAATCCGTTCATGTCTTGAATGAGACTGTGTTTGAGTTCCCACGTGTTGTCCGAGTCCTCAAAACCGGACCATTTGACCAAATACTCCACCTTTGAGTTGTCGACCCTCTTGTCCACAATCCTCTCGATCACAAACTCGTCCTCCTCTGCCATCACTGTCTTCAATGACACCACAGATCAGATGCGGTGATAATTGGTGTCCAAAACACAACAAACAATGAGTTTGTGTTGACTTTGTGTTGAGTTTGTGTTGTGTTTGTGTCTGTCGTATGGTTTGTATGGTTTGTATGCAAACCAATGCTTTTCATTGGCTTTCATTGTCTGCTGTATTGAAGGCGGAGTCTATAGGGCTCTGACGTAAGCAAACGCGTCAACACCTGATCATCATTTCGTACCAACCATTCACTCACTCCCTCTCCCGCTCTCTCCCTCTCTCTCGCATTTAAATTGCTATACAGACAAGTTGTCTGTAATACTGAATTAATATAGAGTACATATAAATGAATTTAAGTAAAGTATATCTCGAATCAAATATAAGGCATAATTACTCTAATTTTTCATAACTTGTAATAAAAATATGAATTAAGTTTTAAAATTAAGAATATATTCATTTATATTCATTCATTTTACCCTTACTATAGATACTGGTCATCCCTTCTCTCTCTCTCTCTCTCTTTCTCTCTCTCTCTCTCCCCTCATTCTGTTATACGTTACGCGAGAAACTGCTGAGAGAGAGAGAGAGAGAGAGAGAGAGAGAGAGAGAGAGAGAGNGAGAGAGAGAGAGAGAGAGAGAGAGAGAGAGAGAGTGAGAGAGAGAGAGAGTATTGATTTTTGGATCAATAGTTTGGATATTTGTGTTTCATATATGAAAAGAGTGGAGAAGAGAGAGAGAAGTGAGTTGTGAGCGAACGGAGCGATCGATCGCTTCAGTAATCTCTTAGCCGTTGATTGCGTTCTATTGTGTATTAAAGGCTACGGATTGTCATTAAATACATATAGAATTGTGTTTTCAAACCAATTAATTGATTCTCATTTTCATATTTTTATTTTATTTCATTTGTTGTACAGAAGCCGTCAAAATGTAAGTCAAACACTGATATGTCTATCAATTGATGGTCACTATTATTACATTATATTCCAAATGCTAGCGACTGTTAGTGTGTTAGTAGTGATGGTGTCATCATTTGTTTCAAATATCACAAGCATTTTTACTCACATTTCTTTCAATTCATTCAATCGTTTTTAATTAAACATTTAATTTCGGTGTCTTTTCGCTAATTGTATTATTTATGTTTTATTGTCAGTAAAATAAATGTATTATAAATATAATTGAGTTTAGACGGCATGGTTACTAGTGTTGTGGTCGGTTACAAAGTTTGATCATTCTTATTAATCTCAATTTTATATTATACTAAATATTGTAATGAAAAGCTATTTTGTTTAAAACTCAATTGAAATGATGTAAATATAATACTAATAATAATGCGATTGAATTGCAGTAAATCCACAAAAATTGAAAGAAAACCTCAGACGTCGGTTAAGGTGCGAGTGATGCCCGAGCAGAGCAACGACTACCGGGTAGTCGTGTTCGGTGCTGGAGGGGTAGGCAAGTCATCCATGGTTTTGAGATTTGTAAAGGGTATGTCTCATACAATTATGTATACTAATTATTATGATGCAATTCTTATCATTCGTCATAACATAGTGTCCAAATATTTGCATTTATTATTTATTTCATTTGTTCTTAGCTATTATCGTGAGTTTTAAATTATAAAGAGATTACAAAACCTAAAAAAGCAAATAACATTTGACTTATTATTAGATGAGTATATAATTGTAATGTAATATAAAAATAATTCGTTTATTGAGTCGACAATCGACGTAAACATCAAACAAAAGATCAAAAGTCTTTCATAGGTTTTTAATTGAATGTGAAATTATATGATGTTTTGGTCACTTATTGCCTATGATTTGATTATTGTTAATATTAATGTTTGTTTATATAAACATTTAACTCAATTGTTAGTAGCGATTAAGTATCACTTTTCTCCGTTCTATTAGAAAAGCAAACATTTGTTTTTAAGGTTAGAGACAAATAAACTTTTGCCTCATATTTAGTGTTTAGTGTGAGAAATAATGTGCAAAAATATAAGGTATCCTTGACATGAAAAATGACATTCAGTTCTCTGTTTATCTTAACCCCGAAATGCAAGGATTTTCAAGTGGTTTGCCATTGAATTAGATATGAAATACAAACACAAACACTAAATAACAGAAACCACAGAATTTCATATACACTACATATAATAAAAAGTACATACATTTCATATCAATCAGCGATTAATTCAATTACTAAAACTCTATGAAAAATGTTTCACTCTTTCTAAACAAATGTGTGTTTCTTATTGGCATTCGCCTGAAAAGCCACTTCACAACATTGCAGACATCCCTTTATTACTTTCATTATATTACACATTAAAAGCCAAATCAATTCAATTAAGACTTTATATGACTCTATGATGTGGTAATTCAGACGAGTCTACAGTAATATGATATTTTCAATGCCAGTAATTATTGTTATACTTTTATTGTACTCATACAAGAGAGGGGAGAGAGAGAGAGAGAGAGAGAGAGTCGGTTAGTGTTATTAATATATTTAATTTGTTTAGCATTTGTTTGCTTTTTTGCCTCAATATTATGCTATTGTTTGGGCATTTGCTTAAACAATAAATTAATAGAACTAAAAGGCAATTGTTTTGTTGACTTTTTATGGTATATATTTATAAAGCAGTGCTTCAATACACGGATTAAGTTTTAATTTTGCTTTTATATATAATAAAGTTTAAGTTCCGGTTCACCAGCGCTTTCTATTTTTGCTATATTTATATGTTTTACTAGAATTACGACATTCTTTGATTTCAATCAATATTTCTTACATTATGTTTAATTTCAAAATATATAAAATATTGATAATTAAAAGCAAAAAATAAAATAAGAATGATTTTATATAACAAATAATCCAGAAATATATATTATAAATATAATAAATTTAGTTGTATTTTGAAATGATAATACCTTAACCTACATTCCACTATACATTCAACAACGATACATAAAGTATATTTATAATCTGAATGTGGAAACAAAATTCTAGTTATTTTTATAAATGAATTCAATTGAATCATATATTTCTGTTGATTATATACTGTATATAAATACATACAATATATATACGAATAGTTTTATAGGGAGAGAAGGAGTAGAAAGAGAGATGAATTATAAAAATGAAAGAATTATTGATTTTGATGTGGGATGTAATGTAAAGTTCACAACAGTTATGATCAAAATCATATGTCTTATCATTGAATTTGAAAGTTTGTGTGAATAATTTGTGCCATAAATCCCAAGACATTACAGTTTTTTCCTACTAATCAAATACACGACAATTCATTTGGAATTCTCTTCAATTCATTTTCTATTTGCTCTGTTATCTCAACTCAATTCATGTCTAATAAGCAAAAACACATTTCAATGCTTTTTCAATATTGAATACACTTTACAGACATTAACAGAATAAAAACTCTGTGATAATTATTTGCTCATTCAATATGTATACGAAAGTAAGCTTAAATTAACGTTTATTTTAATGATTTTGAATTAAACTTAATTCATAATAATGTCTATTAATAGCATTCATTCGTAGAATTTAATAAATAAAAGCATTTAATTTGTGTTTAAGAATAAGATATAATTAGCAACAATATAGATAATTATACATTAATTGTACATTAATAATACATGTATAGTAGATATTACAATAGTAAGCATAAATTATTTTATAACTAACAGGATCAGGGTGGTTCTGCTATCATATGTGTAATGTAGTATTGGTAGGGAAACCAAAAAATTAGTTATATAATATGCAGACTATACAAAAATCATGAATTAGTCAGAGAATCATAGCACAACTAATGGCTTAAAATGAACAAATAGTTGTAATAGTCATTATTGTGTTCAAAATTATTAAAAAAGCATCCCAAAAAGCATCCTAACGTATGGTATTGGATATTATGGAATAATAAATATACACTAAAATAGTAATAGGATTATAAAACGATATAAATACTGGTTTAGCCATATAATATTTTGTTTGTGTTGTACCTTTTTATTTATTTCCAATGTGCATACAGTATCTATAATTCTCTGTATTTGACTCGTTTGAATGATTTAAAGGTATGAGCGGGGGTGCGATACCAACCATTTTTGTATATTATTAATAGTATAATAAAACATTATTAAATTATTCAAAACAAATAGAATATATACATGTATGTAGTGTGAATGAAAGCAATTGAGCATGGTCTGAGCATAATTGCAAATATATCCCGCTCATTATGAGTATTTATGATTTGGTAACAGACTTTCTTGATATTAATGCACATTTAGTAATGAATGCTTTGATTTAATAATTTTGATAAATTATATGCTTAATAGCATTTGAGGGCGTCTTTTACTTCTCGTTTCTGTTAATATGTATTGAAAATGTTATATAATTTATATTTTAATGAAAATAAATTCTATTTTCTTAGTTTTATTAATATATTAGTTTGTCAAATGGTATATGATTTATGTTTTAATATACAGTATATCCCTATATATAGTTTATAAGATATGTATAATCTGTATATTTTGTCAAACGAAAGGCTAGTAAACATAATGTTGTTTTAAATTTCAAATGCAAAACATATCATATTTTAAATTTAATGAAACAAAGAATGACAGTTAGGTGTTGGGTGTAAAGCGTGTGATAACATAAATGAGTATAAATGTGCACAAAGAGCCAAAACTCTCGCAAATCATTTTAAATTTCAAATTCTTATATATATTTGAAGATTCTGTTGGCTATAAAATCAATATATGAAGACTACAGACAGCCTTAAGTAGTGGTAAACTCAAGGTTTCGCCATAGAATCCCACTCTCTGTTTGCTATATATATGGCTATATTTATACTGTATATTGTCGACCACTAAACGTCCACTCTTTACAATTAAAATTTATTTATTCAATAAATTTAATACACGACCAAAATTTGATCTTGTCAAATTATGTGGAAATTTTTTTTAATAAATGAATTTTACTCTAAACACCCGATTATAGTGAAACATTATATACCTATTTCTTCGTTCGACTATTATTTTCTAGATATTTGAAAATATTATTTAAGTTTTGAGACAATTTTCATTTAATTTTACGTGTATTTAAACGATGTAAATAATATTTCACTAACAGATATTGTTTATTCACAAAATTGCTTTTTGTTTAAACAGTGCTGTTGTGTTGCTGTTAATAATGATTTGTTTAACATTTTTACATTGTTGTAACGTTAGGCACATTTCGCGATTCCTATATACCGACAATAGAAGACACGTACAGACAAGTGATTTCGTGCAATAAGAATGTCTGTACTCTGCAGATCACCGACACAACCGGTTCCCATCAATTTCCTGCTATGCAAAGGCTTAACATAACTAAAGGGCACGCTTTCATGTTAGTCTATAGGTATGGCATTCATGGCATCTAATTATATCACTTATTCATTGCTAGTAATTATCATATCATGTATTGATTGGTTATTTATGGTCTTAATTAATGGCAGCATAACATCAAAACAAAGTCTGGAAGAATTGATACCAACATATCGTGAAATAATAGAAGTGAAAGCGGGCGAAGAGAATCTGCCGATTATGTTAGTGGGCAACAAATCAGACGAAGACTCCACACGTGAGGTGAACCAGGAATACGCCAATGAAATGGTGTCCAAAATACTAAAAGGCTGTGGATTTATTGAAACGTCTGCCAAAACCGGACAGAATGTTCACGAGGCGTTTCAGGTTTGCACCAACACTTTATTGTGCTTTTATTTCCACTTTAATTAGCTATACTTTTATAATAAAATTGAATTTATAGTGTAGTCTATTAATTAAGAAATGTAAAAAATGTTATATAAGAAATGATCTCTGTTATGATTTGCATTTAAAATGATGGTGCTATGATATTTATATTTTATGATTTATTAACATATTTGACATTTGTATGACACTTGTAATTATGTATAAAAGAGTATAATTTGTTAATTTTGTGTAAAATATTGTGAGCGAATGGATAACATAAATATCTTGATAACATACTAATGATATAATTGTATAATGAATAGGAATTGTTATCTTTGGACAAAAGTCGGAATATGTCGTTACGAATGGATCTGAAGAAGACTCGGTCGCAAATTAGGAAAGAGAAATTAAAGGGTCACTGCTCTCTCATGTAGTGACCACTCATGTAGTCATCACTCATACATGTGTTCCATCTGTTTGTGGACATCGTTTTTGGCGATCACTTATCACAAAAAAGACACACAATTTGTTATGTTATTTTCATCGTGTGATCGAAATGCAAAGTATTTAAATTTCAGAAAATGAGATGATATACATATATATTAACCAAACAATACAATACTGTTATCACTAAAAATTAGATTATTTATGCAAATGGTATTTAAAGCTAAATATCGGATGAGTTTATACAGAATATATAAAGAGGTATAACTGGTATTGAGAACTATTAATAATAGTATTACAAAAGCTTATGTTTGAAATTTTTTGTCTCTATCTCTATATTTAAGTGCTTTTTCATTCATTTCTAACAATCCATTCATTTTGTAATCAAATAACAAGAAACTAGAAAAATAAGTCTTCAAAAGTATCAAAAGATTGAGTTCTCAATTAGTTTTGAGATTCTCTTGTTTTGAAGACATTAATTGTCATACAATTAGTGAGACATTCATTTGATTATCAGTTGGATTATTAGTGAACAAAATTTTGTCGAACAACATATTTAAAAATTTGCTTAAACAATGAGATCATTATTTATAAATAATTTTTTAGACTAATTTAAATAAATTAATTCTAAAGATAATTAAAATAATTGAAATTATAATCCTTTAAGAAATATATAAAATTTAAACTCCAATACAACGAAAAACAGTCATAAAACCTGTGTATATATCCAGACATAAATCGATTACTTGTTTATTATTTATATGAAGAATGATTTCATTTGAAAGAAGAGTATACGAGAGAAATGTTTGCTAAGAATCGAAACCAATTCTAATCAAAAGCAATTATCGTCTGAATATATAACGAGATTTATGTCGATTCCAATACCAGTAGTACTTTTCTGGCAGATCGTCTCAATATGTATATTAAATAAGAATATATATAAATTAATATTTAATTTATAATTATATACATACAACAACATAGGGTATAAAGTTATACATAATATATATGTAACTTTACGTTTAGGTTTATAGGAATAATGACTTGGATATCATTTCTATAAACCTAGAATACATTACTTACACAATCAATCATTATATAAAAAATACATAAAAATTATTATATTTTTGAGTTTCTCTAACTTTCTTTCTCTCTCCCATGAATTGCACTCAACAGTGCTATAACTGCTTGAGTGCATCAGATCTCTAAATATTGAATATTATGGTCGATAGGATTTGCTCTTAACTAAGAATGAAATATTTTCTATCAAATGGAGTAATACTTATATTTTTGAATGATTTTCTAGATATTAATTAATGACGGGCTGAAGACTAGTTGGAAATGTAAAGCTTTATATGAATATCCATATTGTGTTACATTTGATAATAAAAACATCAGAATATTGTCCTAGAAATGGGAAGTTTTCCATTAGATAGAAAATAAATTTAGTAATACTAATATTGAGTGATATTGAAAGATATTGAGTGATATAAAGTATAATTTCCAATTAGTTTTATTACCAGTTATAAAAATGTTTTGATTGTTCAAATTTAGAGTCAGTACTCTATTGAGTAATTCAGTATTTATCGTATCAATTGTTGGCAGTATTTAGAGTAATTTCAATGAGATAAATATACAAATCGATTTATCTTTATATTTTGATAAACTCTCATTATCTAAAATTAGATGACAATTATTAAGTATTAAATACCAGATAATGCCTAACAATTGATAGATAAACAACTGTATACTCTATTAGAAAATTGTTTTTTATTTGTAATATAATTGAACGAGTTTTTAACTGTAAAATATTGAGAAATCTGTGGCACAAATCTATTCATATAAAAGTACAATCAGTTAATACAGAAATGAATGAAAAGATGGACAAATAATTATTATAATATACAGTATATATAATATATTTTAAATCGTTTGTTAAAGATTTAACTGAATTTATATATTAATTGATTTAAATTTTATTTTTTTAAATAGTTTAGTCATCACTCGTGAGCTTAGAATTTCACATAACATTTAGAAAACATGTTTACTGTATATACAAAACAAGTTTGACATCAATTCTCATATCTATTTCTTCATCAAATGGTCTTAAACTGAAAACAAACCCTTTATTTAAATGAAAGACACATTTAATTTGAATTTCTTTATTAAACTCATGTGAACAACATTTGAACACAAATACTGTACTGATTTGATTTAATTTAACAAATTAAGTGAATGTAAATTGATTTTGTGTTAATTATTTCTGTACTAATCATTAATTTAAAGCTTAATTTTGTGCCGAATTATAAATTATTTACTTAAACATATAAAACAAGCAAAAATGACACAAAACATAAGCCTAATTAATTGGCAAAATGGTTCCGGATAACTGTTCATAATGTATTCAATGGTTGCTATTTATTTACTTATTTATTAACATATAATTCTAATTAATTGTAAATTTAATATTTAAAGTTATCATATTTACAAAAATCACATTTACTTTACTGTAAACAACAAATCATTTAAATAATTGTTTGAAAGAATGCTTTACTTCTTATGAGAGTTTATATTAAGGTAAACAGTATTAATAATAATTAATATTATAATTATAATTGGTTTTCAACAAAAACCATACAATTGTTTACTAAACTAAATATCCAAACATTATCTCAATATATAAAGCAAAACATATAAATATTTAACAATTATTATAACATTAATTATATTTTAAATTTCATAAAATTATTTAAAGAAAAATATAAATTTACTAAAAAATAATATATATAAAAATTGGACACAATTTTTAAACTGTTTTCAATTTATTATAGATTATAAAGAGTTGTATAGAAAAGTGCATTAAAACTGAAAATGATTGAAAACTAAATTATTTGTTTTATTCATTTACAACTAATTCATGTCTCAGTTGTGAAACCATATCTCAACATAATTTCTATTTTAGGTGACTATTAATAGATATAAAAATATATGAATTAAAGTTAATAAACACATTAATATATATTAATAAAAAAGGCTGAAATAATGTGCGCCCGTAAACGCCCATCACATCGATTGCCTTTCATATGTTTTCTATTAATACTCTATTGACTGTCCGTCAACTTTGAGATTTAACATACCATGCTTACACAATTGACAATGTACAAATCATTTTGTGCTTTGCTTCACGCAATTTGAGACTCACTTATTAGTCGATAATATCTATGATAGAGTGATGTGGACCTAATATTATATACAAGTATATCTGCCATTCAGTATCTCAACCCCATTGACCTAACGTGTGATAATTGGACTGAAGTTGTGAGGTATTACCGACAGAAGCCTTAACCATAAGTACATCAACAGATCCGTTATAGGAGTGAGCAATACTGTGGATCAATTTGAATCAAATCTCTATTACAGGTATTGTCTATTTATTGTGTATTTTCAAACCATTGACATCTAGTTTTCAAGATGTGATTCAACATTAACTACAGACACAGGACGTCAGTGCAGGGCTTCACTGTCGCGCGCAAAGAGAATAATGTCATAAAAAGAGGTTTTTATGTTGAATTTGCAATTATTAATGCTATAATTTTTTATTATTATTAGTGAATGCATTGAATCTCAAAGAGTTTATGTTTATAAAGAGCAACATTTGTTGTGAGATCACTATTGGATGTTAGTTGTGTTTGAGAGGGCGAAATAATAGTCAATTTTAGTGACATTATTTATACAATAAAATAGATTCCTTTATGATTGACATTAAGAATAATAGGGTCGGACATCAATAATGTCTGATTTTGAGACTTATTGCAATTGAAGATAAATATAAATAATTATAGAATTACTTATAGATTCAATAAATTATGTTTATTTCAAACAATTATAAAATTTTTTAATATAAATAAATTAACAAATATTTGTCATTTAAAAAGTGATATCAAAGTCGTATCCATCGATCGATTGAATACTCGAGCGCTGATAACCATCTGAAACAAGACATAAGGTATTACTGAATTGAGTCTACAATTAGCTAATAATGATTAGCACCTCTTCTTGTCGACATCGGATTCAGCCATAAGCCATAAATGTCTAAACTTGGACTCCGGAGGAATGGCTTCAAACGTATTCTTCTTAGCGATGAGAACACAGCTCTGGACTCGATATCCGTGGAGGAAGAATACACCTGAAATGGTAACCATTAATGTTTCTTTAAATGTCAATTGAAGTGCACTTAATGTCAAATACCGAGAGATGTGTTGGCGTTGGAGTCGTAGTAGAAGTAAAGTGAGGCGTCTTTGAGGACAAAGTATCGGTTTCGCCACACTTTACGTCTTTGACTAAATATAGCCAAATATCCGCTGCAGTCGTTGACTCCCAAACCTATTGCACTCTTACCGATATTCTTGAGCGCTATCTCCACGTATGGGTCCGACTGAAACATATGTTTCATATTAACACAACCAATACCTGTCATCTGTATTATATAATCGCATACTTTATTCAAGTGATTAGCTCTTTGATTGATGGCATCGACCCATTGGTTGACTGTCTCGCTATCCTTAGCGGCCAAATATTTGGCATCAGAACCCGGTTTCGCTAATTTCAATGCAAACGGTTGCTCAACACTCAGCTCTGGCGCACAACAGGCAGTATAGCCCTGAAGACAAATAACTCCCAAAGGATCCATTTCCTTATGTAAGGTAAACACACATTCATTACCCAAACAATAAATAAGTGAACCATTGTTTTAGCCATAAAAACATAGAAAGCAGTCATACTTTGGTTGATTTATACCAATAAAGACAAGTATCAGTCTTCAACGCAAACCATCGATTTTTATGCCATTTGTTGCCCTTTGAATCAGTGCTAAGTCTCGTTAAATATCCGTTTATAACAATATCGCAACCGTTTATTTCACTCTCGCCGTTGCCGTCGCGGTTAAGGGCCGGACGAGTAGAGACCACTTCCAGACGCAGAGTGTCGGCCCCAGAATGAGCCAATTTGACCACTTCTGAGTGCGAACACTCCATAACATTGGATCCATTTATAGTAACCACTATATCGCCCACATCTAAGCCACAGGTCTCCGCAGGTGTGTCTGTTTTATACCATAAAAGTCACCAAATATTTAATGTTATTAATGGTTGTCGAGTGAATGCAATGAATTGAAATACCCTTTTCAATGGCTGAGACAACTACTGGACGACTGCCATGTATTCGGAATCCAAATTCATTATTAATTCTATGGATAATTATCTCCTTTTCTATTTCTTTAGGGAATTTAATCCATTAATTAAAGATTTTTTAAGAAGTACTGAAAAATTAATTAATTAAAACGTACCAAAAGTCTTATTAATGGCTCTCTTATACATTTCAATGGATGCTCTTCTGTGTATCATTCGATGGGTCACTGATTCGTATTGTCTTCTAAACTGTCTCTCGGAAAGTGTGCTCTCATTAGAGTCCTGTCGGACCAGTTTTGAAGGCGAACTCCCATTCACTTTATTCTTGTGATTCTTCTTATGACACTTATGTCCCCAAACAGTCAACTCGTCTTTACGGCCCACATATAGCCAAAGGGCAGACCTATAGCTCTCCGTATGTATACCTATATCCTCGTCGTCTTCAATATTGTTATGATATGTCGTATCGATTGAAAAGGATTTGAAGTTTTGAAATGAAAATGCGCCTATCAATGAATATTGGATTGAAATAATTTACTCATTCAAACGCTATGTTTTACACACCTTTATTAACCGTAACCAAAGGCACAGAAGGCTCGACAGCCCTTTCGCCACATTGACGGCACTGATAGTGATGTCGATTACAAGAGTGTGTTCTCTCGTGGATTCGACTTAAGCTTTTATCAGGACTTTTACTCAACGATCGCGACCTTCTCTTTCCGATGGCTTTCCATTCCTCACATGTAAACAAATGTCGGCCCAAATCACACGATTCTGTCCTCGATTTTGTCAAATTCCGTTTATTATCGCCTGAAATATAACATTAAATAAAATATGAAATACATTATTAAATTACAAATTATCAAAACCTGAGTTATCTATTAATTTTCCATTCAGTTCTTCTTTCTTCTCTGAAATCTTTGATTTCAAATCAATTGAATCGTTATTATTGCTAATAGTTATCTGTTTCGCAGATATAGAGTTTGGTAACTTTTTAATGGCATCGTTGGTCTCATTTATAATATCAGAGGTAATGATTGTGTGGTTAACAACTGGTGGCTCAACACTCGTTGGTTCCGAAGATTTGTCCAATGCTTTCTCATTTGTATCGTTGGATGTCTTCTCCAATATAATAGATCCCTCGACTGTAAACGATGTTTCGATGTTATCCGTCAAAACACTGGGAAAACTTCCCGATTTCTCTAATTTAGGTCTTTCTATGGATTCGCTCAGAGAGTTTGGGTCAGTTAAGTTGCCGTCAATCATAAAACTTCCTAAAAGTAGTAAAAATAAGCAAAACTCATGATTAATAGATAAATATATTTATTAACACATGGTATAAAGTTATTACCAGAAGTAGTGCTTTCGGCAATACTGGGTGTATTAGACCTGTTATCTCCAGCATCTGAACTGGACATCACATTCGCCTCATTATTGTCATTATTAGCGCTTTTTCTATCAATTTTGGTCATTTGAATACCAGAACCGGAGTCCGATTTATGAGATTTTCCATTTAAGCTGATCTCTTCGGACACTTCCGAAACGGTAGATAACTCTCCGGACATATTTCTGCGGACAATAAAGTCACCGCCGCTCACGTCGTCGATCACATCCTCGTTATCATCGCTCTGTAGTTCAGATTCTGTATCTAAAGACACGCTTTCGACAGACAAACTACAAGAAGGCAGTGGTTTTTGAGTTAAATTAATTTTCTGATCTCCTAACAGAAATGTAGGCTTTGGAGGTATTTTCGGTTTAACACTAGTTTTTATTGGATTCTCGATCACAGTTGACGTCTCAACAGCTGTCGACGTATCGGTGGATAAGTCCTGAACAGGAGTTACATCGCCGACGTCTTCGGAGTCAAAGTCCTCGATATTATGTTCAGTGCTGTTATGTGTCGATACCGTTGACTCTGGAGATACCGTTCGTTCCTTCGGGTCTATTGTTTCGCTTAATTGAGGAATTAATTTCTCGTTTCCGATGTCTTCCGTTGGCTTCACTGATAATAAATGTCTCGATGTTTTTGATTGAAATGATTTAAACTATAATTACAATAATGACAATTGAATGAACATGGTAGTTAACGCATAATTATTTAATAAATATAAATTTACATTTTCGTGAAGTTCTTGTTTTATTGAATGAAAATCGGTTTCTTTATCAGAATTGTTGGCTTTGTTTTCAACACTCGGGGGAGAACTGAATCGACTGCCAGATGAGGCCGTTTCGAAAGATGTCTGTCCGGAAGCCTTATCCTTATCTATTTGAGGGGACGTGTCATTTGCCGACACGTATACAGAACTGCCGCCGCTATCAATGTTGTCCACCGGCGGAGAACTCGACCCTTGATTTGATACGTCAGTCACTAAAAATGTCTTTAAAAAAATTATTACAAACGTTAAAAATTATTAAATTAACCATCTAGATTTTAAGCATTATAAAAATGTGAACCAATACCAAACATTACCTTTATATCAGTTTTTACAGTCAAAAACTTTTACAGTCAAAAAGGGGCTTAAGTTTAACGTTAGGTTCAATCATAACAATTGCATTGAATTCAACCATTGAATCAAACATAAAAATTCATTTCAATGTTAATGATTAAACCTAATGTAAAAAGCTCTTTATGGAATTTCCCAAAACATATTTTGTTTTACGATTTTCCAATATATGTTTTGTTTTTACATTTGTTTACATAAAGTATTTAATAGGCAATGATTCAAAAAGTAAATATAAAATTAAAAGGTTAATTGAATGCAATGCTATTAATGATTAAGTTTTATGCATTCGTTTTATATAAAAATGAAACATAAATTGGAATTCATAAGACATACAAATGATACAATTGAATGATATTTAGCTGAAATAATTTAAATCAGTTTGTAAAATAAAAATAAATTATTGAAATTTATTGATTTTAATTAAAAATTAGAATTATAAAAGATTAAATGCGAGAGAGAGAGAGATGGGTTATATAAGTTAGTGGCGATATAATCTCCAATAATCTGAAAATTGTAGTCAGTTTCCAAATGAAACTTTCAATGGATTTATATAACATTTTCGGTTCACTTATAGCTCTAAATAAAGAATATTCTGTGATATAAATCTGTTTTTCACTTGTAATATATCGTTAAACTAGTGATAGAGTTATCAGGATTTTAACAGCACTAAGACGTTGGCGTGTGTTATGTATTACTTATAAATTTGCTTTCAATCCCATACTTAAACAGAGGAATGGGTTAATGGGTTTGGATATAAAATACTACAATTACTGCCATTAAAAATATGAGTTATTAAACACAATTCAAGTCTATAATGGATTGAAGTGTAAAGACATTTAGTTTAATAATAACTGCAATATTACGACAAAAGCATTGTTTTGAAATATTAAAATAACATTTAATTTTGGCCGTTTTTTAGCAATTCTATCCCATTTTGTGCTATATATCACTAGAAGAAACTTATCTTAATTTTTAAACGTATTGTAAAATAGGAAAAATGTTTTCTTATCGAAAACATCATAGAATACTATCAATAAATCGATATCTATTTTCTCAAAATAAACACAATTTTTATTAAATAATCAAATTTAGTGGAAAGTAGCGCATAAATTGTGTAAATTCATAAATAATATAACATAAATGACTATAAAACACTATATAAATGCATTACATATCATACTATGTTTACAAACATTAAGATGAAATAGGTTTCTTAAGTATTGAAGCTAAACTTGGTATGAATTTTATATAAAATAGCTAATATATAACATTCGCTAAACCTTGTTTTTGTATTTAATAGGATTTTAAGGTTAACTTTTCACTTAAGTTTTTTGTGTTCATATAAAATAGTGTTTTTCATATACCAATATTAAGAAATTAAATTAAATTAACGATACGGTTCACAGCATTGTAAGCGAGTTTAACTTTTAATGTAAACTTTAAATAATGTAAAATTCATTCAAATAATCGATTGAATATAAAAATATCTATATTTAGAAAAATTCAATTTTCAGACCAAAAAATTTAAGCTTAAATTTCTCGATTCATTACGAAATTACAATATTTATTGAATTATTTGGAAACACTTGGAGTAAACACATTGTAATCATTAAAAAACACATATTTGAATATATTTATAACGTTACAATAAAAAAAGGCATTATAGTAAAATATTTAATCGTCTAAATATTAAGCAAAGAGCATTTGCCATCAATTACTCGACGCAACAATAAATTAATGATTTCTCCATAGAGTAGACGCTATGCGTTAATTCAGTGTTTATATAATGAACTAATTTTGCGATAAGAAATGCGAAGAAAGCTATAAATACCTTATGCTCGGCAGCGAAACTATAATTGTCACTATCAGGTGATGTGATACTACTTGTGTCGCACGTCTTGAGCACAGCTTTCTTCGGGTCAATAATTAATGGCCTTTTAGTGACATCAGTGGCGGAGTCGTCAACGAAGTCATCATTAATCTCATCAATCAATCGCTGTTTGTCTTCATTAGTGAGTATTGAGGAGTCGTTGAGTTCGGAGACAACAGTCGTCGAGTCCTGAGATCGTATGGACCGATAACTGGAGTCCAACTCATTAGTTGCCGACGATATCAGCTCTAATTGATTAGAATCTGTCGACGATTTTGAATTCAGATCTTCTTTCCTAATCATACTCTCAATTCTTGAGCTCTCGCTATGGCTTGAGTCCAGTCTTTGAAATCCCAAATCATCTGAATTTGTCTGAATATCGATGTGTTGTTTCGATGTCTGCGGACTTGACTTTGCGATTGAGCGCTGTTTTCGTCTAGACTTTGATTTTGTTTTCTCTGAAGTTCTCGTTCTTTGAATTTTCCTCGTTTTCTTGTCCTTCAGAATGCATTGACAAACAAATGACACACAAAATCAATATTACAACAAATATGACAACAAATATAACAACACGTATTGTTCAAAATAACAATTACTTTAAGTGATATCTGGAGGACATCTTCGTCATCGTCGTCGCCATCGCTATCATAATAATCAGCGTAAAAGCCTTCAGATGTTTCTGGTTTAGAGGTTCGCGGAGATAGTGTCAGATAAGCGGGTATTGAGCGTCGAGTAGGTCTCTCCCAATTGGCCGACCTCTTGGATGTGGTGTCTGTTTGTGTCGCCTGAGTCTTCATCACAGCCCTCCTCATCGCTGCCCTATAAAGGGGAAGGAAATCCGACACATCCCGCGACGATGTACTCGATCTCTGGTCAAACATATCCATTGAATCGGTCTTTCGCATCATATGAGAGCCGTTCACCTGATTTGAAATAGTTTACTCATATTTAGATCATTTCATTAAAAATATTTTATTAACTCAAATGAAAACCTAGTGTTAAGATTCAGCATCGGCAACCTTTTTACTCGACTACACTGACTAGTGAGAGCATATTCAGTGATGAGCAAAGGGGTGTCTCAAAGCACACTCACAATTGAAGTACAACAAGTATTGCTCATCACTGAAAATGCTCTCAATGTAGTCAAGGACAAAGGTTGCCGATGCTGAGTTAAGATAGTTCTGGTCCTGTTCAAAGTATTGCAAAAAATTGCAGCAATAGTTAAGACACAGGAATATTTTGTTGTTAGAATTATTAGACATTAACCAATTTAATGTATTCCTATGAGAGAGTCTATTTTGGTAGTTATGATAGATAAATTTTAACTAAATTGATCATGCTCAAACAATAATAGAGATAATACAAAACCCTTTATTTTCTAAAATCGTCTATAAAATGAATATAATTATATTCAACTTAAAAAATGCCAGCATACAGACTAATCATCCAATCTTTATGAAATTAGTTTCTGGTGCCTAAGAATGTTAACATTTATGTCAATTTCATTATTCTATAATATATGCAACAAAACGTAGTGAACACTAAGTTTCCATTTGATCTATTAATAAAAATTAGTCAAACATTAATTTCTATTTTAATACACATGTTTGCTATGAAAACATCAATCGACAGAACATTAGGTCCAAAAATATATTATAAAACATGAATGTAAAAGATGTGAAGTAAGAATAGGAAAAGAATAGTCGGATTTGAGAATACTATACTTGAATTGTACTCTCATTTACCAGTCTTTCACTAATGGGTTGATTGGGAGGAGAGATATGGATGTTATTAATGCCGCCGACGGTCGCACTCCGGACCAAATGCGTGGCCGCGAATGTCACGTGTTTTTTATTGATATTCCGGTTGTCTTCGCCGGTGTCGGGGGTTTTGGCCACTTGTGATCCCCTCCACGACAGACAGTCCATCGACTGGTGATCGTTGAGTTCATCAACGCTATGACTGGTGGTTGTCGTGGCATTCATTTCACACGTTTCCTGTCATACAATATACGGGGTATATATGCTATCAATTCGTTTCCTGAATCTCCAAATGCTTTACATTAACGCAAAGTGTAATCAAAACGAAAACAAAATTAGAAATAAAAATATAAACCAAAATACAGAAAAACACAAATTTAATAAAATAATAATTTTAGGCAAAAATACTGCAAAAATGTGATAAAAATACAACACAAAAAGCGCTAAAATAGCTGAACAAACATTAATGAATGGATTAGCGACTCTACAAAAGTAATTCTTTTATGAAAATAAGATTTTTTTTGCACAAAATGTAAGTCTTTTGCAAAAAGACATCAATTTGCATAAAATTAAATAAAAATCTCTATCTCTCTGAGTATTTTTATATTTGTTTGCTTTAATGCTATATTAAAAACATAAAATAAGAAATAATTTATGTTACATAAAAAAGGGTAAAAAGTTTTATGAATAAATAATAAAATTAATAAACAAAATTATTGTATTAAAAATACAAAACAAATGTATTAAAAATATGAATGTTATATTATATTTAAATAGTAATAATATATTCATGTGATGAATATTGTACAAATGTTTTCTTTATACACTTAAAGTATTTATTGTAATTATTTCATAATAATATAAACATAAAGAATACAAGAATATTCTTATGGTTAGAGACTTTTAACATTTAGAAAATGTGGTTAAATCTGTGTTTATTAATTCCCAAATATTGAGAATTAATTAATTCTGTCAACTAAACACAATTTCATTAAATTAATAAAAGCTTAAATCAAATAAAGCAAAAAACTTTCAATATATAACAAATAAAAGCGTTTGAATGTTGTAGGAAACAAACAAAATTGAAAAATACATAAAACATATATAAATTTACCATATTATCAGTGAAATATAGTTTTGTCGGTCTTTTCAAAGGCGATGGCATTTGTGGCTCATTTGTGCGCTCGCTATCAAAACTACTGCCACTCCTTTCGAGTCCTGATTTTGGATAATATTTCGATGATTGACGAGAATATGATTGCATTTCATTGCTATAACTGTTTGTGGTTTCAGTTTTTTCAATTCGCTTAATAGTACGAGTGATTGGATTGGAAGCCGATATTCTCTGTTTAAAACCTCCATCACTGCTATCGTCTTCTTCGAGTCCAGCTCTTAATGGACCCGATTTGGTATTTTCTAAACTTCTTTAATAATAACAATGAGTTCGTTAATATACACATTGAAGTTAAACATAAATATATGGTATACTTATTGCCAGAATCTGATTCCTCATCGAATTCGCTGGAATTCTTGCGCCTTTGAACGCATGATAATAACAGAAATGAGCTTTTATTGCAATGACTGTCCGGCATATGACTGCTGGACAGACAGCCAAAGAGACGGGCGGCCGACGAGTCGCGGAGATTGTGCTCCAAGACATCCAACTCTTTTCTGGTGATACAGTACTGTTCGCGTATGTCTTCGCGAGAGTATATCGGGTGACCCTTTTTGTTGCGAA